TTGGTATAAAATAAATATTCGAAAAAATATTGCATTTGGCCTTTACTACTATAGCCCATAGAAATGCATTGAATAACACATTCATAAATGGCAAAACAGACAGTCCAAAAATAAATGATAAGAAATAAGCTTTTGAAATGTCTTTCCTAAATTTAGGAGATCTAAGAAAGCTCAGGAAATATTTGTGTCTTTTGGACACATATTTAACCAGTTTTTTTTGTTGCCACAAAACTACCTCCATACTTCCAATAATTTATTTTTTACCTGTACCGGTTACCTTCAAACAAGTCCCGTGACACTTGTGGATGTCGTAGAGCAAAACGGAGAGCACCATCGTGTTTGTTAGAATCTCCCCCTTCCATAGCCGGTTCGGATGCTACAGACAGAAGTTGGCACATTGGCGGTACCGACTTCAGACGAGTCCCGTGGAGCTCGACGCTGCAGACGTTTTCGTGAGAAGACCGATTTTTGGGATGTCTCATGGTCTGACAAACACTGCTGTAGCTCTGCCTCCTTCCACCGCTGATGCGGAAAGCTGATATAGGCGGATGCGGTGGATTGAGATGCAGCCCATGCAAAAATGAACACATTGTGATGGAGATGTTTTTATTATGTTACTTAGATTAACTCACCGGTGCGTCAATAGACTCAAGGATTTTAATATATACAGCATAACTATATCTTAGACTGGTTCAATGCAGTGTAACGTTACATTGTTTGTGAAGTGGCGTCTGGCCGCTCGAGATTTCACTTGCCTGAAGATAGGGGAAAATAATTTCCACCCATTGCCCTTCATCCTGCCCCCAGCCCAATTCCTCAAATCTGATTAGGGCTTTTGAAAAAAAAATCACCACTTGGTGACATTTACATAAAATAGACACAAACAGAGAAAATATAATACATGTTGAATAGATTTATTGATAATGTTGATCAATAAAATATTAAAATTATATAATATTTTATTGACAATAAGCGATACATTCACAGTATTATTGCAAACATCTTTGGATTCCTCACTATACTCTAAACTGTAAACAACTATTTAAACAACTATTTGTCCTCTATTTGCACTCTGAGAAACCCTTCTTTATTCTGAGACTGGGGAAATAATCACACATATGAAACTAGTGAGTCATATCTCTCTCGCACTCTCGCCCTGTCTCTCTTTTTCCCAATGTCTGTCATTCAGACATCCTGTAGTCACACCATATATCCTCTCCTCCTGTCCAGCCCTGAGCATCACTCCCCTAATGAGCAGCAATAGTAAATAAATAATTGTGCAGATTCAGATGTAGAAGCCTTCCAACCTGCCTCGGTTCACAGAGAGGCTGTCATATAGTACTGTAAATCACACATTCACACTGGGACAATCACACCACGGGGCGTGTGTGTGTGTGTGTTTGCTTGCTTCCTGTGGCTGGGAAAACTTTTGGTCCCGTCAGGTACAACACGCCTCAGTGATGATCCACACGCACACGCACACGCACACGCACACGCACACACACACACACACACACACACACACACACACACACACACACACACACACACACACACACACACACACACACACACACACACACACACACACACACACAGTGGCCAGGCGTCCAAGCTCTCTGAGAACATTCTCGCTCTAATGAGAGAATGGCAGAGTTTCAGGAGGTTTATTGGATCAGAGGTGACTTTAGGAAGAGGGTGAAGTACTCCACTCCATTATCACATGACAGCTTTGATTGCTGGCCATTTGAACTACTGAGCATTTTTGACAATGATGTGAAAGCGTTGACGGGAATGTAATATTAATACTTTTAATGCTATAATGTGAGCTATAATTTGTCCCTAACTGTGGCACATTTCTGCCTTTTAATTTGAGTCTCCATTCTATCCACAATCTATTTAATCTAAAATGAGGCTGAAAAATAACATTTCTCAGCATTCAGGAGTGATTATATAGAACCATTTGGAAGATTTTACATTTCAGAAAGCACAGACGGATGAGCAGACATGTAGAAGGATGGGTGGATTGACAGATAGAGAGATAAATGAAAGGACACACACACAGACATGAAAGAGGATTACCTTTTTTAACAGCGAGAGTCTTGACCTACATAGTAAACACAATTTACAACGTTTCCATTTTGACTGTGTTAGCAGAATGTGTGCTGAAAGCATTCCGCCATCCGTATGACTACAGCTTGGCTCTATAGAGTTAGCAGAGTAAATAGCATTATACAGCCAGAGTGACCAGTAATCACTTTGTGTTGAATTAGATGATAGTGTAGAGTACAGTATATCAGGGAGACTGGATTAGATTATCTGTTATTGTTCTTGGATTGGATAATAAGGACAATACAATCATTTTAATGACTTTCAATTGCTTGCAAACTCTTACACAGAGTACAAAAATATCATACAGATGGAAAGTGAATTTTGCGTATGACAAATTGCTGTATCTCTGACTCTGAGGTATAGCTGATGGAAACAAATGCATCTGGTATTGATGTCGTTATATGCTAAATAATACTGTTAATGAATTAGTGATAAAAGTGGGATGGTCGGGCTTATGTAGAACAGTTTTACATTTCTGCCACACAGCACAGTCAATAGATTCTACCTTCACAGTGGGAGGGCTGGATGAATCTCATGTTCTGCTGCTGTCAGTGTTGTCTATCTGATCTGATGAATGCAGAGGCCCAGTGGTGTGTCTGTGCGTTTCTCTCTCATTAAAGACAGGATTAACCTGTAGGTGGCTCCCTGTACCCTCAAACCACCCCAAACCCCGGCCAGGTCACTGAAGAAGGCCTCCACAGAGACATGTTTTATTAACAGATGTCAGTGTTAATATCTCTAGTGTTCATGGTGAGGTGTTTCTCTGCCAAGCCATGAGAACACAAAATGATCAAATTGAGTTGTTATGAAGCAGCAACATGGAACCGGCTTGTGATCAAATTTGTCATGACTGAAAGCTATTAATCTCATGTGATTTCAATAGGTAGATCATCATTCAAACTCAAAATAGAAACAAGAGAGTAATGCTTCTTTGACCATGGTAGTTGTCATTTCTTGCTTCTCTCCACTTTTCACAATTATTTGACAGCAGCGCCACCTGTTGTTGAATTCTCCCTCTGTACCCTAACACAGCTGAGACAGGGTAAGAGGACAGTGATTTGAGAAGGTGATACAAATATGGGGAAAATAAAGGACAGAGAGAAGAGACAATAGCAACCTCTTTCAGCATCTCTTTGAAACATTTATGGTTCCTTGGGAGTGACACGTCACATTCTAGAACACCAAAACAACTCCTCAGTTCTAAAAATATACCACAACATGCCCTGTAGAATTGCATAGGCACAATGACCCCCATTACAGTCTATCTGTCTCATTAACTGAGCAACTTCCCCCAGTTTAACTACAATAGCTAGTTGTGAGATATTTAGTCAGGATGCTCTGTTGTAACTGGTGCAGAGAGCCTGTAATGTAAGTAGAGGTGACACATTGGTCTACCTCTGCTGTCTACCCGTGTACTATAAACTTCTCTTCCATAGTGTTATTGATCTGTGTTCAGCAGAAAAGTGACTGTGGTGGTGGTGAGTCTGGACAATGCTGGGAAGACCACTATAATCAGAGGTCTACAGGGAGGCGAGCTTCTCTCTCATACAGTAACATCAACTTTACTCTCCCATAGGCATAGACTTACAGTTGAGGTACTTCACCCAATAATTAAAGTCTGACAAATATGAAAACTTCATTATTTGATATTGGGGGGATCTATCCTTTTAAAAGCTGTGAATAGAGACTGTGTCGTCTGCCTCAGTCTACCACAGCTCTTGGGATCTGGGCTTGTAGGTCCTGACCTGCTACCAGTGTGACCTGTGTGATTTAGCACAGGCTGTAACACACAACACGCTGCAGGTCCTGTTACCCCTGGTCTGATGTTGATGGCCTTATAAAACCACACAGTAAAATAATGACAGATCTCTGGACTGACCACAGCTGGTTGTACTCAGACACACTTTGATGTTCCTCAGACCGTTATGGGAGAACCTCTTACAGCTTCACAGACTGACTGATCACTGATACACACAGACAGACAGTAACTTCAAGATAAGTTTGACATGTAACAGTTATATGAGTCATGAATCTTAAATGCACTGTTGTGATCCTAAAGAGTATTATTGAATGTTTTTCAGATTTTTCCCTCAGTAAACCTGTGACCAGGCCCCTGCGGATGGTGTGTCTGTGGCTGAGCTGTGTTTGCGGGGGTAAGAGAGGGGGGGGGGGGGGGGGGGGGGGTCCTACAGCACCCCCACATCGCTAACAAGCCTGTCCTTCTGTGAGTATTTCAGGCAGGGATAATGTTATTTTTACAGTACTGTTTGAAACACAACATACAGCTGTGGACCAAATGTCTGCTTTCCACTGCACTTATTTCAGTGACCACTCAGTGGCAGGGTTGCTACACCGAAACAGTTGAACGTACTCCAGATGGTTTTTAGGGGATTGTGATGGAAAGTGGATAAGCAGGCATATGTAGACCTGTGGGTAACCTCTCTTTGGAATTTGAACAGTCAGGAAGCTTATAAATTGTTGAAACCTTTGGAGGCTCTATATTGTTGAATATGGAACAGCTACCTCAGGCCATATCTCAATTGTGTTATAATGTATATTACTGCCTTAATTTTTGCTGGACCACAGGAAGAGTAGCTGCTGCCTTGGCAGCAGCTAATGGGGATCCATAATAAATACAAATACAAATACAAATCCCAGTATGGCTACCTAGCTAAATCCTAGTTCCTGTTCAGCTGTGTTAGAGCTTCTGAAATGGCAACTGGCCTTAACAAAATAAAAGTTATCATTAGGAAGTACAAAAGCAAACCAACGTGAAATGTCTTAATTCACAGTGAAATCTTGAAATAGAACCCATTTCTCATTGAGCCTGCCTGATTTGAAGTGAAACTCTCAGGTAAATACATTCATATGTATTGTACATACACACAAAGTTTGAGTAAATACAAAAACTAGTACTTAAAATAAATACTTGCAACGATTAATGAAAGTAAAATTCAATCTGTTTCCACATTGTGAATACTTCTGTGCAGTTAAACAGTCTTGCTTATTCTGAAAGTGAATTATGTCTTGAGTTACAGTAGTCCATCAGAAGGGGAGACACTGACTCCCACTCTGCTTCAACTGCACAGCCTCTTAGAATCTTATTGTTCCTGGATGATTTCTGACCACTGTAATGGGCTGATTTTTGCGTTCATGATTCTTATAATCTTCTCTGAACACTGTTCTGCCATGCCACCCTAGAGTCTTTCCCTCCCATACCTGTAGACTCTCCACACCAGAGCTCTTCCCCTCCCCATCTGAAAAACCTCCAGGGGTATCTCCAGTGTCCAGGGGACTTGTCCCTTCTCTATGTGCAGCACCTCCAGGGGCAGCGACAGCAGCACAGCCTCCTTAGAGGGTTCTTCTTCTTGTACTTGGCGGCCATTTTAAACTTCTCGTTAGTGACGGTGACGTAGTCCTGTGTCTTCTCTACGCTGGTCTGAATGTTGTCTATGTAGCTTCCTTGCTCCTCCACCAACATAAAGATATCCATGAACAGATCTCTCAGCTCCTTCATGTTACTCTCCAGATTCAGTAGCTCCTATAGCGGTTGCACGAAGGATGAAGACGGAACATTAGTCAAGGATTTGTCTGAACGGACAGTGAAACTGGTCTAAATTACATGCGACATTAGTGTTTGTCGGTCACAGACATACAAGGCCTACTGAGAGTCTTAACTTTACCTTCAAGAACATAGTCTTGCATTTTCTTATACATCAAACCTTACGCTTACCTTGTGTCTCTGCTCGATCTCGGACAGCTGAGAGCGTGTGATTCGTTCGTCGTTGAGGAGGTTCTGGTTAAACACCTCCCACTTCCCTGTGGCAACCATTTCATCTACTCCCTCCTCGGTGACGTCGTGACCAGACACCTCCAGCTGGCGGATGATGAAGTTTTTACAACGCTCCTGTTTACTGAGGATGGAGTCGTTATACAAACGCATCACCTAGGAGTGGTAAAAGATGAAAAAGTACTTTAGACGAGAAACAGCCATTTCTATTTACTGTTAGCCTAGCTAGCACTAGCAGATATTAAAAAAGGCTACAATGTGCAAACTAAACCTAACAATATATATTTTTTGCTGATGTTCATCAAGTGTTGTCAGAAAAACATCAGAAAACACCATTGAAATAAAAGGTTATAATAACTATTGGAGAGTGACCTGTTGGAATTGTCTTAGTAGCGCTGCGTGTTGGGAGCGTTGAATGCGTGTAGCAGCTGTAGCCGGTCCCTGCAGGTCTTCTAAACTCTGTGCCTTCTTGGAGAGGGCGTCCAGCCGTCTATGGATGCTCTCTGCTTGCTGCTTGATGTCCCTCGTCACACCACTGTCCTTCTTCATCACACTGAAACGACGCATGGTCGCCACCAGGGTTCTTTGTTGCTGGCTAAACTTCTTCACCTGGGGAGAAGGAGAAGAGGATTCAGTCAAACTTTAAATGAACAACAAGGATTTATAGAGCATCCTTCCACCTCCCGAATTCACAACATTATTCTCATGGACAATTGTACGTACAGTTGTAGTCCAACCAAGGTGCATGCTTTGCAGATTGACCTGTGTATATAATTACGCCCACTCCTAGGAGGAATATGTGAGCTTATTCACCTCCATTTCCAGCTCAGTGATGTCACCGCGGATATGCTGAGCCTCGGACAGGAAGTTGTCCAGGACCGGTTCTTCCTCGAACACCACAGCCTCCTGCGGGGTGGCGACCCTAACCCCCAACGGGGCATCTGGGTCAGCATCTTCCTCAGGGAATGAGGTCTCATCTGCCTCACTGCTCGCATCCAGAAAACCCTGGGCCCTCTGACGCAGCTCCCCCAGGCGGTCCTTCATGGTCAGAGACCTCCCGGTGGAGCTCACTCAGAAGGACCACAGAGCCTGTCAGTTGAGGCCCCTTGGTGAAGTTATCTCCACAGAACAGAGCCTCTTGGTGGACCTCGCTCCAGAGGACAGGGTCTGATGTTGTTTAACTGTAGTAAGGAACATATGGTTTTGGTTGACAATGTACAGTATATGGTGTCTCCAACTATTGTTGGTAACACTGTGTTAAACAAAGCTGTTTCAGTCAACACTTGAGTTTACCAGGTGAACTTTCCTGTCTTGTTCATCCCAATTAATCATCATTACAATGAGGAACTCAAGGTCTTATGAGGTAAATATGTACTTTTGTGTGTCCACTTTGAACTGGAATCAAGTCTCTCTTCACTTTGTTTCTTTATAGCATCACAAGCTTTTCTATAATGAATCTGGCATCACAAGCTCTTCAAAAATGAATACGTAGACAAGGTCAACATTCCTGAGAAATTCCCTAAGCACTTTGGTCCACTGAGCTACAAGTAGTGTTTGTGGCTGAGAATGGCAGAGAGAGATGCGTTAGCACAATGTTTATGTGCAGCACCAGTGAATCTACTTCAGCTTTGCTTCCCATGAGAAGTTATCTTGTTTGTGTTTTTGCAGTGAGGCATTTCCCTTCACCAGTATCTCTCCCTGACATATCAATATGATGATAGCTCTCAGAGAAGGGAACTTCTAATAGACACACACACACACACACACAAACACACAAACACACACATACAAACACACACATACAAACACACACATACAAACACACACACACACACACACACACACAGAGCTTGTCAACATTGCACTTAAGATTCGGTTAGTCTGACTGTATTCCATACTGTGGTATCTGTGGCCTTTAGCGGACAAATCTGGTTTAGCCGACAGCAAAACAGAATAAACAACAGTTTGAAGGTTTCATAAGCTTATTCTGAAGTATATATATACAGTATTTCCCCTGCAGTGTCTGGATATTTTGGAGGACTTTAACTGTTAGGAAGGGTGGAGTGAACAGAATGTGTATTTTTAATTAAATAGAGCATTGTAAAAGACAGACTATCCAATTACCAGATGGATTTCAAACAGGAAAGCCCACAAAAAACCTGTTGTGTCTGTGTGTGTGTGTGTTAGTGATGGGGGTTGACTCATAAACTACATTGAGGTTTTTCTTTCATTATTTTAAGGTATATGGCATTAGCACGTAAGCCAAAATTCTAGGGCTAACACACGCCAAATAGCCTACATGCCAATCGCCAAATACTTCTGGGAACAGACAGAAAACTTAACTTCGATCCACAGAGGGGAAAAGGACAATGTGGGAGTTTAATTCAATAAGAGAAAAGCTGCGAAATGGAGAGTTGAAAATAAAGAGAAGGGAGGGGCCAGAAAAGTAATGTTTGGGAAAGATTTGGTGAAGTGGTAAAAGAGGATGATTGTGAGGCGCTATACAAATTCGACAGTCACAAGACGGGACTTCAAATAGGCCTATGGCACGTCAAGGGAACTGTAGCCTACTGTTCAGATGGGTTAAATGGAAACTGAAATCTGGACACCGACTGTAGGTCTATAACCTCTCACATAGCCTTAATATTAACTCCTGCAGAATTAAGCATTTCTTTCAGTAAAATGATACACCAAATGTAGGCTAAATTATGATAAAATAAAATATTATTTATTTCTTTCAGCATCTTGAGAGAATGCGAATGTGCAGTTAGATACCGTCTGTAGAGGTGCTATCTTTATCGGCATCATGAAAGCTGATAGTATTTCAACCAAATAAAATATGAATCCAAGCCGAACTGAAATCTTATCAGAAACATGTTGGATTGTTTTCACAGCTTTCTATTTCCTTACAACCGGTCAAACTGATGTCATTTGGAAATTTTGCACAGAAAATCGTCTATGTTTTTTTTATATATGTATATTAGCAGGTTAGGGTTGGGTGCGGGCCTCAGATTTTCACTTTATCACATATAGTTGGGCGGTTGCAGATGGGTTATTAGCAATTGTGGGTAGGTGCGAGTGAACAAACAGCTGACCTGCACACCACTAGTGTGGGTGTGTGTTTGTGTGTGTGTGTGTTTGTGTGCAGTACTGAAGTGTGAGGCCTCCTTCATGTTCTAACACTACAGACCTCTGACCTTCTTTAGGCTGGAGATCAGATTGAAACCCAACCATGGAATTACAAATACTAGAACACAGATTCCCATCAATGTCAACTTTTCATGGTCGATGGACCACAGTCATTGAGTTTACCTCCCATGGACTAACCCGGCGCTTTGTCCGTTCTGGTCATTGTAACTCTATTATTCAGACATTACTCAACCGATTCTAGAGCAATGCGAGATTTAGCCTGAAAACACACTCAGTCCAACTTAGTCTGTGTCTGAATGTTGTTATGGTTTGTTCTGTTCTCTGACTGCTTTCCAACTTTCCATCTGTTCACCTGTCACAGAGTTTATGGGGAACTGCCTGTTGACATTTGTCACCATAATGCAAGTGTTCTGCTGGGGTGGAAGAGAACAAATGCTTTCCTCTTTTACACATGATATTATTGTAAAGACAACTCTGACCTTGTGATTATTTTTTATTTTTTTTAAATCAATTTTTGGTCTTAAGAACCTTGAATTTCATCTGAGATAAGAATAGTATACACTTAAGAAACATATTCTAACACTTACACCAAGTATCCTGAAGTCAGGCAGGCATGAGTTCTGCTATTTACCTTGTTGTAGTAAGTAATCCGTGAGGCTTAGAGTCTGCCCTTTATGTTTGACCAGGAATGTAACTGCCAATTGAGCCAAGCCATGGAGAATGGATTATTCTCACTTCACATAAAGTATCCATGAAGTTATCCAAATGCATATCCCGTCCTTCTGAACGGTATCCTCAGGGAATCTATTGAGCCCTCCACTCCTGTTAGCTGTAGGACACGTGTGTGTGTGTTCTGTTAGTTTTCCTATATGTTAACAGTTAGTCAATAAACTGCTATAACAGAGGAACAACTTCACTTCCCAGCAAATCTGGTTCTGCCAGTCTGGCCACACCCCTTCTCTCTCAGGGAGAACTCTCTGTGGCCAGTGGGAAAAGGGAGAACAGATGCGGAGAACTCTGCCCCAACTACTCTGTCCCAGGGGCTGCTCAAACAACAGGGAGCAACGTCACAGAACAAATAGATCTGTATTGTGTAGAACAGCAATGATGTAGAAGAGTTGTTTTAGCTCTATACATGACATTATGTGTGGAGCCTATGGTGCAGCCTGTTAGCTAAGCCACTGGTCTGGCCCTATTGTGTTTCTCAGGCTCCAGCGGCTCTACTGAGCATGGCTGACAGATTGTTTCTGGCAAGGCCAAGAATTCCAGGAACATTTTAGGAGGGAAGGGACATAGTCTTACTCTACACCCTCAGAATGGCATTTTGAGGAGTGTTGAAAAGTTGACATCAGAGAGAGGGTGACCTAAAATAAAATGGTGGCCAACATTTTTGACCTGACAAAGGCCTACTGTATGTGTTTCATAAAAGCACAGGGTGGAGGACTAAATGTCAACCAACAGTAAGACGAAATACAACTGAATTATAGTAACCAGCGGATAATAAACAGGTGTATTATTCAATTTTAACTGGCTGAATGATTCATTCCTAATGTGTAGGTGTTTTGACAACAAAATAAACCGTTTTGTGTTGTGACAGGTGTGTTGTCAAGTGTGCCATATTCATCTGTGTCAGCACTTACAGAAAGAGTGAATAATGTCTCACAACCGCTACCTGCATTTCTTTACCTGTCCCCTGTCTCTCTGTCCTAGGCTTGCCAACAAGCAGAACCTGTCCGGGGCTCTGGCAGAGGTGGAGCTGATACACCGTCTCTCTCTGGAGACACTGGTCAACAAACACCAATGTCGCTGCTTCATAGTAAGTGTCTCATAGCATAGCATATCTTGCTAAAGGCTAAAGGCCTGGGGTGTAATCATCAGTCCATACGGTTGCAAAACAGAAAGTTTTGCAACTAAAACAAGAGTTTCCATTGGACAAATTCAGGTGCACTCTGTGGAAAGAGTTCTACATGGAACCCAATATCCTATGGAGATAACCCTTTTAGGTTCTAGATTGCACCTTATTTTCTATAGGGTGTAGGTCCCTCACCACTTCTTTCTGTTTGCTTCCGTTTAAGAAACGTTTTGCAACAGAATTGGCGTAATGAATACGACCCTGTTAAGAATTTGTGTAACAGGAACATGCCTTTGTGTTGTTCTTGTATAAGTTCTTCCTCGGCTGTACTTGGCTCAGGGAAGACGTTGGATAGGTCCATCAGAGAGGGAGTAGACTGGCTACTGGACTACATCTCCAATGATTATAAGGCTCTTAATGAGCGCGTGCAGACTGATACAGCACATAAGAGATAGAAGAGATAGCATGCCTGGAGAAAGAGGTGAGGGGGGAGGAGAGAGAGAGAAAGGGAGGGAGAGAGACTGAAAGTTGAGGAGCAAAAAGAGGTTGATGGAACACTGCATAATGCACTCTAATGAATGTTTGTGCAATTTTAAATGCTTGGTTTGTTCACAAGGCACCATCATGGTCCCTGCTGGTGTTCTACACAGTGATATAAGCTGCTGCTTGCTCTCAGCATGCCTGTTGTAATTAAATGCCCCTCAGAATGCCTGATTTGATACCACTCACTGTGGAGAATGTCAACAACAGAGAACAGACTGAGTCAATGTCACATCAATAGTATCTGTTTTCAGGGCCTTGAAAATTATGTCTCTTTAAGAATGTCTCTTTAGCCCTGCGTGGGAGTCAATGTACCCAGAGAAAATATGTTGTGTTTAGTTCTGCAGGGGTGAAGCGTAGAGGGAAGAGGAGGAGAGAGGGGAGAGAGAGAAGAGAGGCCAGGGAGAGGGCAAGGATGATGAACTTACAGACAGCTTATTACATCAGAGAGGTCAATAGTGAAGTTAGAGAGATGGCCCGGTGAAATGAGCTAATGAAGAGG